AGAACCATTGGAAAACCTGAGAGTACCGGACAGCTGTTTCGTCCTAGTTTGGGACTCTTCATCAGTACGCACCCAGGACCCTCTGGTCACAAGGCGAGCTCGTAGACCATTAAGCCACTGGGACCCGATCCAAGAGTCCCAGAGTCCTGAAGAGTCCCAAACTAGGACGAAACGGCTGTCCAGTACTCCCAGGTTTTCCAATGGTTCTCTAACCACTGTCAGCTCATGATGAAATCCTGTAACCAATCAAATCCCTACAAACCAACACTTGAACTGTTTGACCTGTTGAACGTCATTCTTTATAGCAGTACAAGTAAAAGTCAAAATGAATGACGTTAGAAGCTTTGAAAAACTAGAATAAGAAAACATATCCACACACACACACATACACACACAACTTTTAAGAAAAAAACTATTGAAACGAATCAATGATCATTTCATTCGGAATACATTACACTACATATGACCTTTACATTGAAAAGTCAACACATGTAGAATGTTTATTGTTAAGAACAAGTTTACTAGGACGGTTTTTTAATTCATTCAAAATAAGCCCATGTGACTTTTAGAAAATTTATGTTTTTCACGACAAAACAATACAACAGACAATTAATTTGTATTTTATCACTGGGATAAAAATGAAGGATCCAACGTAAACATTACACGTATTAAAATCTGAGTGGTGATTAAGAAAGTGTTCATATTTGATAAGTGACTACTACTGTAAAGGTAGAAGAGAAGAAAATTTGGTAAGGGGACCTATTAAGGAAAAAAATATCATATTTATACATTTTTTGGAGGACACTAAATTGTTCTGATTGGTTGACAATTGGCCCAAGGTTAAACAACGGGAAGGAAAGCTGGCCAAAGAGGTTCAATCCATTATCAGTATGCAGACCGTAGATGTTACAGATTTCCTGGAATAACTTGAGCGCCGAGTCAGACTGAATCATTATAAATCACTTAAAATAATCCTAGAGTGTCTTTTTTAAAAAGTATCTTGTTTTGTTTTTTTCTTCAACACGCTGGGATTATTTAAGGTAATTTATGATGAGGTTAACGTTGGTGGCATAGCGGTTAGGACTCTCGCCGACCATGCACATGGTCCGGCGTTCGATCCCCGCCCGACGAACTCCTTTACCTCGCTAAGCCAGAAATAATGCTGGTGAAGAGAAAAGGTTGGGTATGAGGCTAGCAACCCCATCCTGTATAACTAAACACTGTTACAGAAACTTCAAGCCACTAGCTTGAAACCCTATGTTCCACTGGGGAACGTGAAGGAATAAAAAAATAAAAAGGATGAGGTTATTTTAAGTCCACATAGTAAATTAGACCCGGATTTGATGAATAAACATCTCTCCAGCCATTAAATTGAAGTGTTGACTTCAATTTTGGCCGATTCCTATCAATCTGTATCTACATACTACTGACAAATCTTATCTGTAGTATATACCACACTACTTTTTAATAGGACGAATCCGGATTATTTATTTACTCCAACAAAGAGAGACTGGATCATTTTCATGGATAGATGTGTCTATTATGTATAAGATTTTCTGTAGGTCTTCAGACTTAAATGTACTTTATTCAGTATACTCTCAGTTTTACTCTACAAAATCACAGCTCCGTCTGATCCTTTTCTGATCACTGCATTCAGAACTATTGATTTCGGTGCACACTGCAGAAGTTCATGGCGTTACCAATAGCTGTTTACCAAAATCTACAAATGCTTTTAGTACTTGTAACGATGTGGAATTTTTGGATATAAATTGTATCTTCCATGGTTGTTCTTTTTTATCACCTCTGTGCAATGTTTATTATAAATAAATGGAATCGCTAATATGGGGTAGGGAGAATGAAATAACACATAGTCTTAAAAAATTTGTGGAGAGAAACTTTCAATGTATTCGACAGTAATCTTAATCAAAACGTTATTTCAGAAAAAGGAGTGATCACTTCAGATTTCGTTTCACTTAACTTTGACGGACTACTTTTGTAATTCTCTAAACAAGAAAACAATCAAATGCTGTTACAAAATACATGTGGTTTAAAAAGTGTTATATGAACTTGCACGTGATCATTCACTTTTACAATTTATCGATCAGTGATGACCAATTCACACTGGAGCATCGTTGTATATCATTGGTGAAATATATGAAATTAATGGTAAGTTGTGAAACACATTAACAACACAAACACCCACATAAACACTTCTTGATTGGACATATGTCTATTCTACTTCAAGAAAAAGGTTGAAAAACAACCCCTAACTCTTTTTTTTCTTTCTTCACGTTCCCCAGTGGAACATAGAGCTTCAAGCTCGTGGCTTGTAGTTTCTGTAGCAGTGTTTATTTTACAGGATGGGGTTGCTAGCCTCATGCCCAACCTTTACTCTTCACCAGCATTATTCCTGACTTAACGAGGTAAAGGAGTGCGTCCAGTGGCCGGGGATCGAACCCCGGACCATGTGCATGACCGGCGAGCGTCTTAACCGCTATGCCACCGACGCACAACCTAACCCTTATTAGTATCCCCTTAATTTATGGATAGAACATAGAGCTCCATATCATCCTGTTCTCTGAAGTCCTGTTTAGCTGCAGGCTACACGATTGTCTGTAAGCCCTCATCTCCTTCTCACACTATCTCCTCCACATCAACCTAGGACGCCCAACTCGCCGTTTTTCCATTCGGTTTCTACCGGAAAGTGTGTGTCTGCCGCATGATGTGATTTTTAACGATCTCCTCAGAGTGGGTTAGACCCATCTCCACTTCCTTCCGCATATTTGTTGCGCGAGATAGGTTCTTGCTTGGTTCCTTGGCAAACGTTCCTCTGGTTAATCGTTCCTGACTATCTGATATCTTCGGTGTGAAGCGAAGAAAGCTACTGATGCGAGCCTGTAGCAAGCTGTTGGAAATGCTTTTTGTGATGCGCAAAGTATCTGTACAATATAGAAGCACTGAATGACTTGACATTAGTGTTGAAAATCTGAATCTTGTTCTGCATGCTGATTACAGCGGATTTCCAATATTGATTTCAGACTAGTGAAGACCTAATCTGCTTTTCCGATCCTAGCTAGCTTTAACATCCTCATCCGATGGCACATCCGTAGTTGAAACGATTACGGCTAGATAAGTGGAAGAAGTGACCTTCTACAAATTTCTACAGCGTGGCTTTATTGGAACAAAGATTATTTCAGCATTTAACATAGGAATACAACAGGGAGTATGAACCACCATTAGAATCAAACAAAAGTACGACTAGTAACGACGTTATTTAATTTACTTTGACCAAAAAGAAAATCAAGTATTCGTGCTTGTTAGAGATCCGGTTGACTTAGAGGTGAGTCTCGTCAAGAACTCATATCGAAGCTGAATAAAATAGGACAGCTAATTCGTAACACCTTAATAGTGAGCACCAGCAATTCTATGAGAAGAAGGCCAAGATTATACAGTTCTGAGACGATGTTACCACTTAGTTACTAAAACAGGAATACGATGGCGGGCCTCACGATTTCCCACGTTCACCTTGTCATCGAATAGGGTAACTACAATAGCTGATGTTACACAAAAGATGCCATACCAGAAATTGTTTTCATCTAAAATCGTTTAGTCAAGTATGCATGAGGTGGGACTTTCGAAAATACTCACATAAAAACGTCATTTAAACTCAACAGGTACCTTGATCTGAAAAGTAATGATCAAAGCAGCATTCGCCATGTAGGGAAACACTGAAAACATTGAAATCAATCTATCATTACTATGTGCAATTTAAGCAAAGTACAGAATCTGAGTTATAATCTTATTAGTCTGCTAATGAGTACGATTTCAGAGATGTATAATAAAAGAAAAAAGAATCAATTTTGTAAAGATAGGCAGTTGATATCCCAATGAGAATTCAGCAATCATACCTAGCTTTATGTAATAATATATAATAATATAATACTCTCTTGTTGAAAATATTGTTACAATACTTGGTGGTACCATTGTGTCGAGGTATTCACTGATAATTCATTCAATCATACTATTACGCACGTGTAAACTACAAACCACACTAGTTTTATACTTCATACTTAATTCGAAAAGGACTACTTAAATAAAGCGCCTATGAACCATCACAGTAGTAAGATCAATATCAACTAAAAGTCAATTGTTCTTCCATATTACTATTCCGTTTGCCTCACACTTCTGTTTACCATCTCTCTCTCTCTTTTGAATCTCTCTTCTCTTGCTTTGTGTGCTACGTTGAGTGTGGCAACTCGAACTGTTGCACATCTGTGCAAAGTTCTCCGTTGAAACCAGTCAGTCAAAAGTCAGCAAGACGAGAAGTAAAAAAACAAACTAGGAAGGTATATAACCAAGAATAGCTTTACACAAAAAAAGAACAGAATAAGTAAGACTGACAGGACTAATGTAGCATACTTTGAAACATACTATCCACAGACAGCTTTTTGCTACTCTTCCATCTGTTATTAATGACCTCTTATATGTGGATGATATTTGTTGTCGATAACTTCAAAATCTGTGAAAACGTCTCTCCTAATCCCACTGAACTTCCTTCATCAAAGGATTCAATAGATGAAAAACATAAAAAGAACGGATATCTCATGCAAATTCATGTACAAGCCTATCAGCCACATATGTGATGTTAATGACTGATTGACTACCCCATCTTCAACAACCGCAACAGAGTTTTGATCCGTAGCCTGCCAACCACACACACATATCCTAGATCAATGAGTCACACACAAGAACACGAGTTGTATTCTCACTATTTTACTAAATGTGACTTCACAAACTAATCGCCTCATCTATAAACTTTACCTACTATGTAATTAAAATACACCACGACAACATATAAAATATATCTATTACCTACTACTAGGTTTCCACACGAAATAAAAAGTATGATAAATGCCAAAACATACTACGTGCAACTTCTCGTTGCAACACATAAACACACACACAAGGAAATCAACCTGAAATCTTTGAATACAGCTTACCTGATACTGGAATAATTTTTTCCATACCAGAACAAGCATAATCTGTTGGCTTCAAGACAAGGACAACAAAAAATCCCCTGGGGAACTGAGTCACCTAGATTTTTGGTACTTATAGAAATATGCAGAAACTCACTTACATCCGCAGATACTGCACCAAGAGTAGTAACAGTTTGATGTAATCCAGTGTTTCCCACAGTATCAAATAAATCACTAACAGGACACTGAAATCATTTTTGCGATAGATTTACTTTTGTTTAAAAGCGAAAACCTACCTGAAGTTTTTGAATAGACAGTACCATGCATATATCACTTTTGGAAACTACTTTAATTTCCGCTGAATTCTTCTCCGCAGGGTAAATATATCGCAAATAGACAGGTTCAGCAGGTGACACCAGCATAGTTTTCTCTACACCTGGTCTGTTATCAAAATTAAATCTAATTAAAAAACACTAAGTAATTTGGCATACTGTAGATCAAAATCATGAAGTAATTCAGCTAGAAACATGTACCGCACCTTGTTCGGTGGACTCATAGCGTTAGATAATTCCACTGTGAGTGTTCGAACTTCACCGGAAGGAACTTGAATTGGACAAAGTGTGCGACTAACATTCCCGTATGCTGGTCTTTGTATACATAAATTAGGTTATAGAATGTAGTGAAGAAACTCACATAGAATTGAGAACCACTGGCACCTGGAATGACATCACATTATGCACTTGTTTGATTACGACTAATATAGGATAATCTAAGTTTGGATTATAATTGACCAAATGTATCCGAATGACAAATTCCTATGAAAACAACATGAAGTTTAAAAGTATATTTTTTCATACGCTACGATTCGAAAGAGCAAACTGATACTCTATCTTTTTATCTTGTGAAACATCGTCATAATAGGGCTTGTCCAATTTGGCTTCATTTGGGATTGATTCGATCTCAATAAATAAACAAGCTATAATGAACTTTATCCCGAAAAGTAAAATATTCATAGCAAATTATCGAAGACATAGGAACTGGATACAGCTGAAATATAAAACAAATATTTATTAGTGCCTTGATTTTAAAAAACACAGAATTAAGCTAGACAATTTTTATGCAAACATAAAACATATATGAGCTACACGTTTATCGATGACATAGAGATGTTTCTAAGTGGTAAACAGATATCCTTCTGGAACCGTAGAAACCGACAGATATGTTTTGTGCAGATTTTACCCGCTAACGGTACTCAACACATTACACCAGCAGTTAGCTATAGTGAAAACGCCCTAAAACTTCCCAAACATTTAGTTCTGTTAGTAATCTCCACCACAGAAACAAAGATATTTGAAGAACAAAATGAATTTTCAAGTTGGCCTACGAAATCATATTAGTTAGAGAACCAGTGAAAACCAGGGGAATTGGATACCTGTTTTATCCCAGTTTCCGGCACTTCATCAATACTACCCCACGACCTTACCAGATGCCAACCTAGGTTCGTGATCTAAATTGAGATCAATCAAATCCTTATAAACCAGTACTTAAAGTGGATTTCTATTCTTTACCAGCTCTCACGACTAGTAAATTATTGATAAATAATAATTATCTATAGTTTGGTTTGTAAGGATTAGTTATGTTTTACGAGTTGATCACGGACTGATATCAGTTAGAGAACCATTGAAAACCAAGGAGTACTGGACAGCTGCTGTTTCATCCTAGTTTGGGAATCATCGGCAGTACGCACCCACTGGGATTCGAACCCAGGACCTTCCGGTTACAAGGCAAGCTCGTATACCATTCAGCCACTGGAACCCGATTCAATGGCTCATGCTCGCTAGTGACTTGCTACAGGTTGGAGCTTCCTGCAGTTCTAGTGAGAAGTCGTGACCAGTGAGGTCCAATTAGAAGTCACGTGTGGATGGATTTCCACCAACAACAATAGTTGGGGTCGCGCTAAAATCACGAATTGGTAGAAGTTAGAATTCATGAGCCATTGAATCGGGTTCCAGTGGCTGAATGGTATACGAGCTTGTCTTGTAACCGGAAGGTCCTGGGTTCGAATCCCAGTGGGTGCGTACTGCCGATGATTCCCAAACTAGGATGAAACAGCAGCTGTCCAGTACTCCTTGGTTTTCAATGGTTCTCTAACTGATATCAGTCCGTGATCAACTCGTAAAAAAAAAAAAATAATTGTTATGTTCAGAACAAATTCGTAAAATCTAGCCAACATGGTAGCTCGGAAGATAAAAACAATGAACGCATACAAAACGTAGTAAAATAAGCTTTTCGACAGAACTGACTGTCGCACTATACGCAGCTGGTAATGATGATGTTAAAGTAAAATTTAATGCATGTAACACTGCTACATCTCACAGCATCACAGAGATCGTATGACACATAAGAAACTAGTACACACAGTGTTTAATTGCATGGATCAAATAGATTACGCCCAGTTTGTTGTTTTAGCCAACTACAGGTGGAATTAACAAACTGAAAATCAACACAAGCAAATTTAATATCCTCCTAAACAGCGAATACCTATTTATTTTGAACAGAACTAATAAAACTAAGGTAGATGAACTTCTTAACAAAACTGGCAATGTTAAGGAAGGCTATATATTTTTAGGTACTGTGTATAACGATCGCAAGAAAATGTTTAACTGTTCAGGTTACTACTGATCTTAGGGAAAAAGTATACTTGGGAAATAGGGCTTTTCAGTTAACAATATACAATATCTTCAGTACCCAAAATCAAATTTAAATCCTGTGGAGGATTTTGAACCTGAGTTCTTAGCTGACGTCTACTGAGTAAGCAGTCATACACTTATTTGGTTAAGAAGCAGTCACAATTCACAGAAGTGACCAGTAGGTATAATTAACCTTTAACATTTTAAGAGAAGTGATTTGTGACCACTTCAGGAAGTCATAATGATTCTCTGAAAAACTCTGCTGTTACACTCGCAACAAATCAATAAACTTTCCATAGCAGAAGTGATCTAAATAGTATGTTGCATATTTCCAAGGAATTCTAAACTTATTTCAACAACCATTTATAACGCCACCTACTGGAAATTCTTCAATGTTTTCGTACATGACACATAGACACATTTGTCCCTAATAAATCTTTATTCGAATAAAAACTATAAGTTAAAAGCACTGGAGATATAAAACCAACCACATTAAGCAAATGCTAGGAAGCATCCTTATGATTTCAAGGTTTCTACTGAGTGAGTGAAAATGGATTTCTCTGTGCCTTGTATTATGACTAAAACAATAACACAATTTGGCATGAAGTGAAATTAGACGAGCAATGATTACATTTATTAGTTCGTTAAAGTGTTGTATAAATTTTGTCGTTCAAGCAGAAAATTTACTTTACTTTTCATCTTTAATCTACTACCATTCACTGCCAGATTAGATCAAAGCAGTGTGACATAAGAACTTCAGCTTCACAACTAACAATAGCTTCAAGGGCACTGAAAGATCTTTCGGTGCATTATAAACACCTTGACAGCCTATAGCTGAGTGCAAGTACTAACACAAGTTTGGGTAAATCTATCCTAAATCTGGAAGTGAGACCTAGTTAGCCTTAAGGCTTTCAAGCTATTTGCCGTATGTATTTACAAATCGAGTTTCAGCTTCATTTCAAACTCTCAGGGTCAAGATTCGGCAAAAATCTGTGAAAAGACCTAGACAAAACTTCTGTGATTTGTGACTTCACAAATACATTCTAAATACTGATTATTTCGAGGAATGAAAATAGACTAACAGAAAAACTAAAGCACAACATGCTTATATAAGCACAACATTCCCGCTATTAAAAAGATTTAAGGACAAATGCATAAACCTCTTCACAAATGTGAAGATTAACTAGTAAAGAAATTAAATAGCTTGTTAAACAAACCACTTATAAGGATAATAGAGTACTAACTCACTCTGCTGAATAAAACATCTGCTTGATTGTCAAGGTTAAATTGCACAAACAATTGCTGCATAAAAACACACAATTGCTCAACTTGGAACATCACTTAGTTTCAGCAGTGCTGCATGCTGCTTCACAAAAATTAAAGAGCACCACTTAAGTATGACTGAGATCTTATCAGCGATTTCGACAATACAACACTGTGGACAATCTCAGACAATTTTATACTGTAAAATTGTTCAACACTTTATCAGTTCCATTGAAAAACTGGTACAGAATGAAAAATATGTCATTTGTGCACTTAAAGTCTGATAGTTATAATGGTCTGCTTTCTAATAAAAATTGATTTTATTTCTTGCGCTCCAAGTGGAGAACTGGGTCTCAAGCTTCTGACGTTCTACTAGCGCTTTGTATCAACGAAGTAGATTCGCGCCTGACCTTCTCTCTCCTCCATGATTACTTACGGCTATTCTACTAGGTGAGGTTCAGGGTCGCGTCAGCTGAAATTCGACTCCCAAGAATAGTTGGCTGGCAATCCACCACCTGACCAGTGTTTATGACTTTCGAGTGGAACAAAAGTCATTCACGCCACACTTCGCTTTCATTTATTTCTGTGTCATCAGTTTCTGTTACCTCTACGACCACTTATGAGATATAATTTTCTGTTTATTTGATCTTTTTTGTGCCACACGGAGGTGCCAGTCTTTGGGTTTTCTATATCAGTTTCATGCGACGACCCAGAGTGTAATGGTACTCGACGTCCGCCTCAGAGTTTGTCTGATCCATAGCCATTTCTTCCGTTTTTTCTAATGCACACGAGGAATCTGGCTGGTTGACTACCTCTTAAAATTCATTTGTGGCCATGCAGGTAGCTGTTTAGCAAATCTGCTCTGTTGCAATCACTTTTCGTGGCATGCTAAATCACTGAACTTATACAATCTGTTGGCTTGTCTCAGAGAGTTGTGAGTTGTGTTCGATTTAATGGTCTTTATAAGTTATCTATTAGGTGTTTTCTTTATTTAGCCTGTTTTCTGGTTGTACCTTTCAATATCACTTGCCTCCATATTCTTGTGGTCTCTTCCCACAAAAATAACTGGTTACTTGATATGCTGTTCTGAGGACTATCTTAAGTGTAGCCTGTTCTACTTCACTCATCATTGTTGCAAAGGCGCTTTATTTCATATCTTACACTGCCCTTCACTCTACTCTCGTGTGCTGTGTAGATACCGCCCACTTCATTGCTTCACATTTAACACTTGCAGTGGTGTTACTAGAAATACTAATAATGAAACTTTACTTTCAACTGATGACGGAAAATGCACCTAGGAATGCTGACGTTTGTTAAAAGTGTGGTTTATACAAACTGATGTTCACATCATACAACTCTTATACTGCCTACCATGCTTAGACCAAAGGCAGATCAAAAAACCTGAATCGTGGCGCGATGATGAATGCTCAGCTAGCTAAGAATCACGCACTAACGACCGAACGCAACGCGACAGCGTGTGATATGGCGAGGATTCTAGACAACAAACCTTCTGCTTAAAAAGCAGACCTAGACAGTGGAGGTCAACACTCGGTGTTGAGTACAGAATTCCTTGGTCAACTATTTTTGGGGAATTATTTACCGCCACATGTTCAATCTGCAGCAGGAATTCATAAGAACGGGAAAATACTGCTTTGATAGTTATTGCCCAGTCGGTATTTCGTTGGACACGAAAGACTGTGAATTGATAAGTCATCCGGTAATTGCTTCCTGACTCTAGAGGGGCTTCATAAATAAGAAGTCGTGCACCAGCCGCTAGTCAGATTATTGCGACCATTTTACAAATAAAACACCTAAAGAATTTTCATTGTAGATGCTAGCGAGGCTTTTGGCAAAGATCCACGTAAAAAATCTAGTACCTTATGAACCATTTGACAAGCTTCTCAGTCAGACAAGTTCTTTCTTCACAAAAAGAGAATATTTAGTCAAGACTGACCGCTAATCCTCTGACCTAAGCCCACATTACTTGATGAAAGGAAAAGTAGCATTCTTATTTCTCTCCTGCTTCTCTTATTCACAAATAACAACAGGTCCTGTGGTTAAGCAAGAAAAATCATGTTGCTTGTCAAGAGCTCCAGAATAGTAAATGGTTTCCGCCACAACGACATGGGCGTTTTGAGAAAAATTCTAAACAAATTGAACAGTTCAGGTGATATTCTAGTAAGCCAGTTGGTTAGACTGCTTGAACTTCTTTGCAGTACCCATATACGTAGGATGACTTCCTCTTTCCGGTGTAGTTATAGATGTTGTGATAAGACATCCAGATCCACCCTCTCCTGAATTCGGCGATAAGGTGCTGCCCGACCATAATAGTTTACTGACTTCGTTATGAGTGACACCTGCATCTATACACGAGACTTGTAATCGCTATGCTGTCCTGAATAGTGACCTAAGGTAATCCTTCCAAAAAAGTCAAGAATACCAACGGATGTTTTATGAAAGCTGTGGTGAGCCGCTTGCAGATAATATTGCTGCAAATATTGTTACCCGTAAACTAACATTTTGAAATCCATTTTTATACTTTTAGGAATAGCCTACCTTATCTACACATGTAATGCAACCTTCAGTTATAAAGTACATTTTCGCTGAATTTAATCAATAGCGATGCCTAGAATTATGTCGTGCAGATTTCTTTTTACCCATATAAAGTGACCCTACTACTTTTTTCCATAACACTTTCTGGTATATTCATCGTGTGTAATTGAATAACTGTAATAATTCTTACTCCAGGTACATATTATATAACAGGCTGATAATGCCTGTGCACTGGGGTCCCTCACGTGCAAACAAATGAAAATATGTATTATTATTACCGTAAATAGGATTTTGCTAGCGGACGAAAACCACTGGCCACTGTTTATGGGACCGAACAAATTCGTCAAATCCACTGAAGCCCCAGCCAATTCGCGCATCATTGGTCAATTTGTCAATCACTGCTGACTGAATCAAAGCAAACTGTAATGTGGTTGAGTGTTTCTGTATTCTGTCAGAAAAATCATTAATAAATACACATTTGAGCAGCTATGAGATTCATATTCTCCCCTCAATATTTGGGGGAGTGTTAAGAGCAGTCCGGTAACCAAGTTAGGTGGGTTAGGCTAATGAGCCGGTAGGATGTGTGGTCAAGGCTTAGATCCAGTAGGAGAGATAGCCACACAACAAACATGAGCGTTTCTTATAGTTGAAGGTAGGCGGAAAACGAGCTCGAAGAAGTTCAAGCAGCCCAGATAAACGAATTCCTAGTGTATGAATTTTACGGTGATGGTTGATTTTTCGGTAGCATTCACTTACTTATGTCTGACTCACCACTGTATCAGTGGCTGCCTTATTGTATCCAGTTATTATTGTATTTGGATGCGGTCCTTTGAGGTATAGAATCTCCTCGAGCGAAATATTGTTCACTGAAACCATGTGAGTAATTTTTACTATCATTTGCCTGCTGAATGGTTCAGTTACAAGTGACCGGAAATCAATTTCACCGTTATTTACGAATGCAAAGTGAACGGCATTAAATTATTCCATTCCTTACCTGATGATGCCTATGAACTGGCTTTCTTCATGTAAATAAGGTCAGAATATGTTATTATTAAATAAAGAATATTCCCGGCCAAATAAAAGCTTCAGACGAGCCAGTCAGTGGCACAAATAAGTTACGCATGTGTAATTATCTGTCTCCACTGAGTGTTATACTTTATATTTCTCCAAATTTTGGTCGCACTGATAGAACGCGCGAGTTGGTTGTAGACGCGGTGGTCAAGATTATCGCTTATTAGCCACTAACGTTATGCAAATTCCACTTGATTCCCCAGTACGCTACACAACGAGGTGAGTCGGAAAGTAAACTTACACAAAGAGACAGTAATAAATGTGGGAAACAAAAGATTACACACTATCTAGTGACGCAATCGTTATGAAGAACAAAGCCATTAGTTGTCAGTCTACGAGGCAACTCTGATCTGTCCATTATCGAGACGGGAAGTCCGTCTCCATATAATATATAATGGGAAACATAATGCATCTGAATATTAGGATTTTGCTTACCGGTGGAGTTTATTTTGTCATGGCTAAGGAGCTAGCTCCATACTGACCGTCGGTGGACGTTGGTTTGATCCTACACACGGAAATCATCTGTAGGAAATCATTTAGTTACGCTGCTTGCAAAGATTCGAGATGGCTCCCAGTTGACTTCGACTAAAAATAACGCTAACGATTGTTGTGTGGCTGTCAGTCCTGCTAGACTTGAGTTTTTGCTGCATTGCCTGATAACTCTTTTGTCTGGCCCACCTAATCTGGTTTAGTAAGTCGGACAGATACATTCCCGCATAAGGGACCACCAGAATACATTAGGACATTGACTAACAACTTTCCTTCCTAGAGGCAAAGCTAACAGAAAATGGTCACCCGAACCAGTTTAGCGACTAAAGCCCAGAAGATAAGTAGTACAAACCGGTTGCCGACTTAGTTATAGAAACCCAAATTCATGTGTTTAGAATTCAAAGGTGATTCGGTTTCGGATATCTTCCCTCTAAATCAGTCAGTAAGACGTTCTTTTCCTCAAAACTGCGAATGATGTTCACCAGCCATAAGTTGTTCTCCATCTCTGTTAAAGACGAACTCTCTCGTCTGGCAGCTGGCAAGTACACCTATCCTATCAGTTCACCTGCTCTTGTGGAGCGGGGTTCATTGGTGGTGGTCAGAGAATGGTTTCCACATGGGCACGAGAACACATTCCAACATGATTTTACAGGGGGGAAGGAAAGGGTTTGCAATGCTTTATTCTAAAACACTAGGTTTATTCCTGTTACTCTACCAACCCTGATCACTATTTCAAGATCATCCATAGAATTCATGCTTACCTTCCACGTTTTCTTCGCTATAAACTTCTAAAGACAACGGAAGCCTTGAGCATTCGTCAGTTCTAACCATACCTTTGTATATGAAAGAGAAATTTACAGTCCCTACTCCTGTCATGACCGTAGAGGAAAAGACTTCTTTATTTTTATTTATTTTGTTTATTTAGTTAATCTATGTACCTCCCCCCAGTAGCTATTGTTATTATT